CCCCCTCACAGACTTGACAAAGAATCCGAAGTTTGAGTGGAACTCGAGAGCCCAACAAGCCTTCGAAGCAATCAAGGATCGCTTAACGCATGCCCCCGTATTGGCCCTGCCCAGTTTCGAGAAGTTGTTCGAGGTGGAGTGTGATGCATCGGGAGTTGGCATTGGGGCTGTCCTAACTCAAGAGGGACACCCGGTTTCCTACTTCAGTGAGAAGCTCAATGACACACGAAGACGCTATTCTACCTACGACAAAGAATTCTATCCGTTGGTACGGTCTCTTGAGCATTGGCGACACTATCTCGTGAGTAAGGAATTCATCCTTCACTCCGACCATGAGGCGTTGAAGTACATTCAAGGGCAGCACAAGCTTCGACCCCGTCATGCCAAATGGGTTGAATACATTCAAACCATTACATTCACCATCAGGCACAAGAACGGGTCCATGAACAAAGGCGCAGATGCGTTGTCTCGGAGACACTTATTACTAACGGTACTTAGTACCAAACTTCTTGGTTTTGAATTTTTGCAGGAACTCTACAAGGATGATGAAGATTTCAAGGAAATGTATGCCCAATGCTTATCTCGGCCTCATGAAGATTACCTAATCAAAGATGGTTACCTCTTTCGTGGTAATCAACTGTGCATCCCGAAGAGCAGCGTTCGTGAAACCCTGATAGACGAGGTCCACGGTGGTGGACTAGCCGGTCACTTCGCGGAAAAAGTGGGTGAGCGTCGAGCTACGGACATTATGGTCTGAATCATCAGATGAATCATTATTTGCGCGGGTTTCTATAGACGGAGTTGGCCTTTCTATGCACGATTTTTCCTCATCTATAGGTTCCTCCTCAGACTTGTGGGCATTGGAATCTTGGGGGTTTGTTGTTGGCTCCTTTTCTTGAGTAAGCATAAGTGGTTCCGAGTCAGGTTCCTCGGTTGGTTCCACTTCGTGTACGACTATGCTCGTTGGGACTTGGCTAGGCAGGGATTCAGGTAACATCACCACAGTTACCCTAGCGAGAGTTGTTATTGTTAGATATCTAGGAGCATCCACGAAGACTTTCCATAGCCCACAAAAGGGAAGGCGGATCAAGAGAATAAGGCTGAAGTGTGGCGACGTTATTTGGATTAAATTCACTCTGTTGCCCTATCTCAAAACCCAAACCGACACCGTGGTTGTCCTACACCCCCCCTAGGCCAAACCAACACCCCACCCAACCCTGAACATCCAAAAACATTTCCCTTTTCAAAATAAAGTTTTCGTACTCTTATTTTAGCCCCTAGCCAAAAATAAGAATGTGTGAACCAAAACCTTTTGTTTGTTGTTATTTTCGTTCTTTTAAGCCTTTCCAATAAACAAATAAAACCATCTCTCCTTCCTTTATTTCCTGGCCAATTAAATCTCACAATCCCAACATAAACACCAACAAAAGGCCAAAAACCTGACCCACCACTAGCCACTCATTCCTGCCCATTTTTCCCTCACAACAACCCAAACCCATAAGTCCAAAAATCACATTATTCCCTTCCCCCCTTCTCTTCACCCTTGTTCCCCATTATGTCCATCAACATGGATACACAAACAGCCACTAGAATCCAAGACATAATGACCCACCATTACATCAATCAAACCTCACCTTGTTCCCCACAAAACTACCCACAAGAAACCTCCAAAACAACCAGCCCCCCCTGCACATTCCCTCCCCCACTTGGCAAAAATAATCCACCCATTCATCAATAAAATTGGCCTTCATTCACATTCCAAACAACCCCACAACCCCAAGCACACATCTCTGATTTCTTTCCATTAAGGAGACAAGAATAAATGGGTATTATCCCATGTGTTTGAAATAGTTGTTTCTAGTAAGTTTCCTTATGTCTACATTCAATGTATTATGTATTTCCCCCTTCCCCTCTCCCTATATAATCAGGCCATATGGCCATTGTAACACACAACCTCTGAATATTAAACTTTGTGACTCTTTGAGTATCTTAAAATAGTGTGATGCTATTTTAGCCAAATTCTTTATTCTATATCTTAAGAGTGGTTATCTTAAGTGTGAGTTTTAGGTTCTAGATTCAAACCCCAAGTTAGGATAAGAGTGTGTAATATCTCTTAAACACCAACTTGGTTTATCCATCATTATTTTCTATCCATTTCTTTTCCCACCATTTCTATCCTTAATCCCCTTTCTTTCCTCATATTAAAATACCAAAAGAACTCCTTCATCATTTACATATTAATCCCAGCCATTCCCCACATAAATACCACTATTTTTCCGCCCAGATTTTGAATCCCGACTGCCTTGATAATCGACTATCTCACCCTTCAGGACTTTCTCGGCATATGCTGCAAGGCCCAATAATCGAGTATCAACTATTGATAGTCGACTATCTGGTCCCTCTGAATTCTCTTCGTCTAAACCAAACAACCAATAATCGATTATCACAATTATGATAATTACCTCTCTGGCATCCCTGAAGTTCCTTTGTTCTGCAGCATCACTATATAATCGATTGTCAAAAACCCATAATCGATTATTGACTGTCCTAGAACTCTAAACCAAAAGCTGCATCATCCCTTGATTCCACCAAAAAATAACAACTCGTTTATACCCCGGGTCTCGGGTATAACATTTGGTATCAAAGCTCTTTGTTCCTACATCCCAAAGGACCAAGAACACGCATCCACTCTTTCTCCTTCCTTCATACTAGCTACTGCCCTACCTTCGTTCTTTCACTTCCTAGTTCAAAACATGTCTCACCCCTCCCAAAAAATCACCAAGGAAGACTTGGTTGCATCCAATGCCGAACTCAAAGCTCAAGTTGAGTATTTGGCCAAACAAGTGGCTCAACTCACTAAAATGAAGTTGAAGATGACGGAGACACCCGAGGAAAGTGAAGATGAGCAAGAAGAAGAGTCCCATGCAGAAACTCCTTCCTCTTCCATACGAAAGGACAACCAAGAGAAGTCCTCCACTAGTTTCAAGGTTGAAATCCCAACCTTTGATGGAAAGGACGATCCCGATGATTTTATCGAATGGTTAGAGACAGTTGAACGCGTCTTTGACTATGCCGAAGTTCTGGAAGACAAGAAGGTCAAACTTGTGGCCTTAAAATTCAGAGGCTACGCATCTACGTGGTGGACTAACACTACCACCAAGCGCAAAAGAGAAGACAAGGCTGCTGTTAAAACATGGACCAAGATGAGAGCTTTATTGAAGAAGAAGTTCATTCCCACTCATTATATAAGGGAAAACTTTTCTAGGCTTCAACACTTAAGGAAAGGAAATCAGTCCGTGGAAGAATACAACCGAGAGTTTGAAGAACTCTTGATGCGGTGTGATCTCCAAGAGAATGACTCGCAAACTTTTGTGAGATACCTCTTTGGCCTAAACACCCAAATCGCCAACACAGTGGAGCTGCAAACCTTTGAGAGCCTTGAAGAGTTAACCAAGTTAGCACTTAAGATGGAAGCCCAACTCAAGAAGGGCAAATCTTCTTTGAGCCGTGGCAATTCTTCCTACCCTAGTACATCAAATTCCACCCCCCTAGCTGCCCAAAACCCCACAGATCCCTCCCCTCAAAATCCTAAAACCGTGCACCCTATTTTCTCACCCAGTGCTCCTCCTCTTCCAAAACCAAGTTCCTCAAGTAGCCGAGTCCCAAAGTATTTTTGTTGCCAAGGCGTTGGTCACTATGCTAGTGACTGTCCCAACAAGAAAATCATGGCTATTGTTGAATGTGAAGAAGAAGAAATGAATCCATTTTGGGTTCAAGGAGAGCCGAACGAAGAAGAAGAAGTTCTTGGCCCCGATGAAGGTGAACTTTTGGTCATTCAAAAGACCACTAGTCATGCGGCTGCCCAGGATGACACCGCACACCGAGAGAGTATTTTTCATACTCGTTGCACCATTCAAAAAAAGGTGAGTTCAATGATCATTGATAGCGGCAGTAGTGCCAACGTTGTTTCCAGAACAGCGTGGAAAAGCTCAATTTTAAGGTGATGCCACATCCGAAGCCTTATGAGATTCAATGGTTGAATCTTAACGAAGGGATACATGTGAGTACACGTAGCTTGGTTTCCTTTAGCATGGATCAGTCCTTTCATGATGACGTATGGTGTGATGTGATACCCATGAAGCTTGTCATATTCTCCTCGGGAGGCCCTGGTTATATGATCGGAGAGTTACCTACGATGGTTTCACCAACTCGTATTCGTTTGTGATGGATACAAGGAGACTCACTCTTGCTCCGATAATACCATCTATCCAACTATCCTAGGCACAATACTCATCCATACTTTCCATCTTTATCAAGTCCAAATATTCAAAGCCCGAAGAGTTACCCCATGAACCATTGTTGAAGCCAAACCAACCCTGGCGCCTCAGTGAAAGCCCCCAACGCGAGCCCTTCTCTGAAAAGAGAAAGCATGAAATCGAGTTAATACTAACGGCCTTCTGTGCCAATGTTTTTATGTATCATTTGCAGGGATTCCATGGAGGAACGCGTGGGAGAAAGAACACTCATTTTGAGAGTGTAAAGTTGTGTTTCCAAATTTCCCTCTCCCGAGAGCCAAAGCAAAGAGTGTTCGATGATGAAGGTTCAAACGTGATTGAGTCTCACCCCGAAGATGAACTCGAACAAAACTCGAATTTGAGAGCAAACTCTTTCGAAGAAGGGGAGGATGTTAGATATCTGGGAGCATCCACGAAGACTTTCCGTAGCCCACAAAAGGGAAGGCGGATCAAGGGAATAAGGCCGAAGTGTGGCGACGTTATATGGATTAAATTCACTCCGTTGCCCTATCTCAAAACCCAAACCGACACCGTGGTTGTCCTAGACCCCCCTAGGCCGAACCAACACCCCACCCAACCCTGAACATCCAAAAACATTTCCTTTTTCAAAATAAAGTTTTCCTACTCTTATTTTAGCCCCTAGCCAAAAATAAGAATGTGTGAACCAAAACCTTTTGTTTATTGTTATTTTCCTTCTTTTAAGCCTTTCCAATAAACAAATAAAACCCTCTCTCCTTCCTTTATTTCCTGGCCAACTAAATCTCACAATCCCAACAAAAACACCCACGAAAGGCCAAAAACCTGACCCACCACTAGCCACTCATTCCTGCCCATTTTTCCCTCACAACAACCCAAACCCATAAGTCCAAAAATCACATTATTCCCTTCTCCCCTTCCCTTCACTCTTGGCCAAGAATCCCTGCCCACAACCCATGCCATAACCCCACCCTTGTTCCCCATTATGTCCATCAACTTGGATACACAAATAGCCACTAGAATCCAAGACATAATGACCCACCATTACACCAATCAAACCTCACTGATAAGTCCGTTTCGTTCTTATCATTTACATCATATTTTAAACAGTATTGCACGTAAATAATATTTAATTATCTCATAAAATGTCATTTCGATGGATAAAACTCTCAGTTTCGCTCTAAGAGTCATAAATAGGGATTCCACATAAAATCATCATAAATTATCCATTTTATGTTCAAATGCTTGAGAAAAAGGGAATAAATCATCAAAGGATCAAGTTTCGGGCTTGAACAAGCTTCCGAGAAGATAAAATCGACGTTCGGGCCGAAAATCGGTGACATTGGGCCAAGATCTCGTAACAGCAGCGAAGCCCAACGGACCAAGGCCTCAAGGCGTCCAACTTGGACGCTTGGAGTTGGACGCCTTGGCTGGATTGCAGATCAAGGAAGACACGTGGCAAGCAGCGAATGGACGGGCCGCGTAAGGCGTCCAACCTTGGACGCTTTGGATCCAGACGCTTTGACTTGGACGCCTCGGCCTATGTCCTATAAATACAGCGCGATTCTCCCCATTCAAAACATCACTTTCACTCCCATTTTTGGGAATTAAGCTTTATATTCCAATTCCAAGTATTAGTTTAGCATTTTAGTAGTTTTAGAGTAATTTTTGGAGGAATTCTACTCCCGATCAGTTCTGTTCCGCTTTTACGGAAGTTGTAAGTTTTCTTTATTTAATAAAATGTTGTTTTAATTTATGTTTGCATAGTATGAGATAGGGTCCGAATCTCTGGGTCCGGACTAGTTTGGTTGTTTTTTTTATGTTAAATTAATGTTGGAATGGTTAATCTATTGTTCTTGCCTTATTTAGTTAATTATTCACGAAAGATGTAATTAGCTATTTATTGAGAAAATATTTTATGCCAAAAGGCTATGATATTCAAGTACAAATCTAGAAATGGATAAGTAGTAATAGAAATATTATTATTCCAATTGTTAATTTAATATGATAAAATAGATCCGAATGATGTCCAGACCCTAGGTCCAGATCTATGCTTATACTATGTAAACTTAATTTATTATTTTTACTCCACTCTCTTTTTACAATCGCTCTGAGAAGACTTTCATAAACCAATCCTAACCTTCGCCTAGTTAGAGTAATTAAACTGATTCCCTTCGTCCACTCCTCGAGAGACACGACACTCAGAGAGAAAACTAACCCTTTAATGGGAAGATTTACTACCCAAAAAACTACAACTGTCACTCACCTTGTTCCCCACAAAACTTCCCACAAGAAACCTCCAAAACAACCAGCCCCCCTGCACAATCCCTACCCCACTTGGAAAAAATAATCCACCCATTCATCAATAAAATTGGCCTTCATTCACATGCCAAACAACCCCACAACCCCAGGCACACATCTCTGATTTCTTTCTATTAAGGAGACAAGAATAAATGGGTATTATCCCATGTGTTTGAAATAGTTGCTTCTAGTAAGTTTCCTTATGTCTACATTCAATGTATTATGTATTTCCCCCTTTTCCTTTCCCTATATAATCAGGCCATATGGCCATTGTAACACACAACCTCTGAATATTAAACTTTGTTACTCTTTGAGTATCTTAAAATAGTGTAATGCTATTTTAGCCAAATTCCTTATTCTATATCTTAAGAGTGGTTATCTTAAGTGTGAGTTTTAGGTTCTAGATATTTGATTAAGTGCGTCATATCTTAATTAAATTCTAGATTCAAACCCTAAGTTAGGATAAGAGTGTAATATCTCTTAAACACCAACTTGGTTTATCCATCATTATTTTCTATCCATTTCTTTTCCCATCATTTCTATCCTTAATCCCCTTTTTTTCCTCATATTAAAATACAAAAAGAACTCCTTCATCATTTCCATATTAATCCCAACCATTCCCCACATAAACATCACTATTTTTCCGCCCAGATTTTTAATCCCGACTGCCTTGATAATTGATTATCAACAAAGATAATCGACTATCTCACCCTTCAGGACTTTCTCGGCATATGTTGCAAGGCCCATTAATCGAGTATCAACTATTGATAGTCGACTATCTGGTCCCTCTGAATTCTCTTTGCCTAAACCAAACAACCAATAATCGATTATCACAATTGTGATAATTGACTCTCTGGCATCCCTGAAGTTCCTTTGTTCTGCAACATCCACTTCAAAGCATGGGGCATTCTTCATTCAAACCTGTCTCCTTAGTGGGATAATATCAGGAATGGGTTGGGGTTGTGGGGGTTTTCAGGTTTGGTTTGTAGTGGTTGTTTCCTGGGTTTTAATGCTATTATTTGTGTAAAAATGAGGGGTTGTGTTTTGGCCAATAAAAGGGGACAGGGCTGGGCAATATTATGGGTGGTTTTGGACATATGGGTTTGGGTTATTGTGGGGGAAACATGTGCAGGAATGAGTGGCTAGTGGTGGGTCAGGTTTTTGGCCTTTTGTGGGTGTTTATGTTGGGATTGTGAGGTTTAATTGGCCAGGAAATAAATGGAGAGAGGGTTTTATTTGTTTATTGGAAAGGCTTAAAAGAAGGAAAATAACAACAAACAAAAGGTTTTGGTTCACACATTCTTATTTTTGGCTAGGGGCTAAAATAAGAGTAGGAAAACTTTATTTTGAAAAAGGAAATGTGTTTGGATGTTCAGGATTGGGTGGGGTGTTGGTTCGGCCTAGGGGGGGTGTAGGACAACCACGATGTCGGTTTGGGCTTTGAGATAGGGCAACAGAGTGAATTTAATCCAAATAACGTCGCCACACTTCGGCCTTATTCTCTTGATCTGCCTTCCCTTTTGTGGGCTACGGAAAGTCTTCGTGGATGCTCCCGGATATCTAACACTGCATCATCCCTTGATTCCACCACAAAATAACAACTTGTTTATACCTCCGGTCTCGGGTATAACAGTTATGCTCTCGGGTTTTTGTGATAGTGTTGGTCTGGGTGAATCTTCTAAAACTGGGACCTGATGATTGAATGGTTTAAGTTCTAGAGTCTTATTAGTCTCCCTTATTTGGTCTTGAGATTGGAGGGAGCGTTTAAGTTCGACAGCCTTACAGAGATCATTGACTAATTTATCAGCTTTAGCCTCAACTTCTAGTCTCTCTCTTTGAAAGTTGTCCAACATTTTCCGTATCATCTCTAATCCTTCACATAATCTCCTTTCGAACTCCTTTTTCTTCCGAACTTATTCAAGAAGTTTTGCTCTTTCTCGAATTGCCACCTTGTTTGCTTCAATTTGTTCTTCAGCAAACAAAGTGTAGTCACGGAAGTAAGGTGGTTCGTAGCAGGAGCCTTCAGCGAATAAAACCTCGTTGAAATAGAAGATTTTTTGTTCTAATCTTATGATTTCTTCAACGAGCGGATCAGGTTGATCGTCGTAAATAGGCTCATTGCGGTCATAGTCATCGTAATCTCCATGAGGTTCATAATAATCATCCCCATCAGAGTCTTGGTACGGAGAATATCCAAAGTTCCTAGACGGGGTGTCATATGGTGGTTCTTCATGGTGTGGATAGTAGTCAGACCCATTGTTGACTTGGTAGTCATAATCATATGGGTTCTGATGGGGGCGGTAAGATGGATGGGTTTGGTACGGAGGGCGGTTGGGTGATTGGTAGTAAGAAGGCGTGCCGTAATAACCACAAGAGTTATCCCTAATTATTACGGGTGGTTGGTGAAAAAGAAGTGAGAAGATCGTTCTAACCAATCTTCACCCAAGCTAATCAGAAGAAATTAAACTAATTCCGTGCCACTCCCCGGCAACGGTGCCATTTGGTGAGTTGTAGTTTTTCAGGTAGTAAACCTTCCCAATAAAGGGTTAGTTTTCTCTCCGAGTGTCGTGTCTCTCGAAGAGTGGACGAAGGGAATTAGTTTAATTACTCTAATTAGGCGAAGATTAGGATTGGTTTATGAAAGTCGTCTCGGAACGAATATAAAAAGAGCGGAGTAAGAATAATAAATAAATTTCACATAGTATAAGTATAGATCTGGACCTAGGGTCTGGACATCATCTGAATCTATTTTATCATATTAAATTAACAATTGGAATTATAATATTTCTATTACTACTCATCCATTTCCAGATTTGTATTTAATCCGTTGTACTTGAATATCATAGCCCTCTGGCATACAACATTTTCTCAATAAATAGCTAATTAAATCTTTCGAGATTAATTAACTAAATAAGGCAAGAACAATAGACTAACCATTCCAACATTAATTTGACATCAAAGGTAAATAACCAAACTAGTCCGGACCCAGAGATCCGGCCCTAACTCATACTATGCAAACATAAATTAAAACAGAATTTTATTAAATAAGGAAACTTACAGCTTCCGTACAAGCGAAATTGAACAGATCGGGAGCAGAATTTCTCAAGGAAATTATTCTAAACTACTACTATTCTAAACTAGAACTTGAAACTGAAATATAGAGCTCAATTCCTGAGAATGGGATTGATGGTGATGGTTGGAATGAGGTGAAATGCGTTGTATTTATAGGA